GATAGTAGAGAATAGGACAGACAGCAGAATACATCAGACACTAGAAAGGCAATATGTCAATCAATGGAAGGGTAACTGATGTGATTCAGCAATCTGTATACGGGGTAAAAGGGGGAGTTCATAACCCACTTGAATCAAACCGTGTAATATGATGTATTAAGAACTATGTAATATTTTGAAAGACCAATAATAAAAAAAAGAAAGTAGATGGCAAAAGGGATGAAAGAGAAGCACTAATTATAAACAATCTTAATGTCTAAAGAGGAATAATAAAATTGATATCCCAAGTCAATAACATTTATACAAGTACTTAAAAATTTCTTTAATGTTCTTACAAAAATCTTTACATGTTTAAAAAGTTCCTGTAGATCAAAGTAGAAAGAAGTAAAGGTGAAAAAAAAAAAAGCTATGAAGCTATGCCCAAGCTGTGTCCAACAGAAGTACAAAGATCCAGGAACCCTCACCCAGGAAAAGGAAGAGAAATTCTATTTCCCCCACTATAAATTCCTAAAGAGTACATGTACCTCTCTGGTGCTGAAACCCAAGTTTCTTTTTTCAGAGTATATTCTTTCTTTTAGCTCCCATAGAAGTTACAGCTCCAAATTAATTCTTCTATTGTTCACCACGCTAGGAGTATGTCACTTCAAAAGATTATTAGATACAAAGACCTATGCTGTGAAGACTTGCCCTGCAAGTCTAACCCTAACCCTAACACTTTTCAGTGATCAATGGTGTTTAAAATCAAGACCTAGGTAGTACCTGGTCCTCTCAGATCCAGTTATAGTCAATGGATTATATCCATTGAAAAGTAAAAGACTAYAATTTTATAGTTCATTGAGGATTAGAATAGAAGGTTTCTATTCTACCTAAAGTTAACCAAAAACTTAAAAATATAGAAGTAAAGAACCCAATATTTAATGCATACTTGAAGTATTCTTCCCTCTCAGCATGCTAGTTAGTCAAAGTTTTAATCAAACTTGAAATAAGTCCAACTTGGTTTTAATCTAGTTACTGAAAGACACAGTGTGACTTAGACTTTTGAAGCAATATAACTTCTATTATTTGGTGCCTAGATATTTTAGTGACATATTTAGACATTTTGTGTGGTATTTTAACACTAAATATTTAGGCTTAATAACTATCTGGTTTGAAGATACTAGAAGTTATAAATAAAGCTCTAGTGACATCTGCTAGAAAAACTTTARAAGAGGTTTGCTAACAGTTCTTGGAATGATTTAGGTACAGCTCCAGACAAAAGCAAATTAGGATATAAAATGTGAAATCATTTAAAGGTATGCTGCCCTAAAGATTTAGCATATCTTTACAGAGCAAAGAAATCAAAGAAAAAAAGGCTTAAGGAAAAAAATAAAAGCCACTTACTTGTACTGCATATTTGTAAAACTGTTCTGAGAGTTCTCCCAGCTCCTCCCTGGTTTTGCAGGTATTGGGAAATTCCTCAAGCCGGTCCAACTGTTCCACTTCAGCAACAGGATATGGTTTCTCTTTTAAGACCTGGACAATCTGGAACCGGCACAGGCCTGTAATCAGCAACGTATAGTGGGGCTTGGGCCAGTTACTGCCCACAACCTGAACCGCCAGCGCAGCTGTCCCAATCCTGAAAAACACAGAACATCAGTATGACAAATATTCACTCTGAAAAATGGAACCTTACTTCCCAAAGTGTCAGATATTCTGAGAAATTCATTAAAAAAATAAAGAACATCAGAAGTGTAAATGAACTATGTCTCTAATTTAGCATCCGGTATGAGCTTTATTAAGTCACTACAATCAGCTGTGGGGTAAAGCATACAAACTACGATTGCACCACTTCTAAAAATTATGTAGGAATTCCCACACACCTGGATTATTTCAGCATAAAAATCTAAGAGAGAGAGTAGTTGACAATTATATAGCTTAAATTAACAGTGCCAACTACAATACTAGAATAAACATTAACATTTTAAATAGAATGAAATACAAACAGTATAAACCAATGTAAGAAATCTCTGTTCCAATATCAGTTTTAAAGTCCAATTATCTTACTTAATCAATCTATAAAACTTCTACATATCTATCTTATTATAAACTACCACTACACTCTGGGAATTAATACATATATGTCCTTAATCCTGAATTCCTAAATGTGGAGGCTAAATATTATAGACCATACCATGTCATGAACTGAGGAGAGMTAAAGACTGAGATCTCAAGAAAGTATTCACCTAGTTCTAACAAGCAATCCTCTCACTAAAATAGTTGAAAAGTCTTATTTAAGTCTTAGCTCCTTATCAGATCATACAACTGTGACCGAGTTACATGTAAACTTAATTCACAGAAAGGAAGTAACACTCAAACTAAGCCAAAGATATATAAAATATAAAGACAACATTCAGAATACGCTTCTGAATCCCAAATTAAAATATTTCTCTCCTCAGATATATTCAATTTCAGAAAAGAAACTAAAAGAGATGATAGGTCTGGGAAAATGATAATATTAAAATACTACACCTGTTTATCTCAAACATACTGAATCACATACACATACAATATGTGAATACATCAGTGAATTTGCTCACTCCTACATAAATACTCATAAATTACACATTTTGTAGATTATGAGATTTTGGTTTCCTTGTGGCACTCAGCTTATTTTAAACTATGTCCCTTATTCCTTATTATTTTTGCAGTCATGTCACATGTACAAGGGATAAAAACTGATTTTAACAATACCTTAAGCTGAATAATTAGGAAGATAATTGGATGAGAGAAAAAAATCACATACTTTAAAAACTTGAAATGATTTGACATTTATTATTTTGATTTATTTACATTTTACTACTTTTATCCAGTGACTRATCAACAGGTTATAGTTCCCATTTTCAAAAAAACAAGTCAGATTGCCTGAGGAAGTCAGCAATGCCTAAACTGATGAGAGATCAACTCAGATATTCAGCAATGTTTGCTCCATGCTGAAAGAGTTCACAATTGTGTTTGTACACTTTTGCAACCAGAACCAGATCCCTGACCTCAGGGGTTTACAAAGTAGAATCCAAGGAGAAACCAAAGAGGGGTAGATGAGCGAAATCCAGATCTCCTAGGAGATAAATTTTATTATTTGGTCTATGTCACTGATAAACAATGACATTAAAAATAAGTTTTCTGGGCTAGGGATGTGACTCAGTGATAGAGTGCTTGCCTATAATGTGCAAAGCCCTGGGTCTGATCCCCAGTACTGTAAAAATAAATAAATAAACAATTTCCCTACAAAGCTAAGAAAATGCTTTTGCTAATAGTGAAAGGAAGATGTTCCAAGCTGAAATKAGATTAAGTTGAATTTACACTATATGACTCTCTTCTTAGTGAGAAAAAGGTTTTAAATGTAATGGGTTTTTACTTGAAAGCACATGTAGTTGACTAAAATATACACTTTTTAAAGAAAAATATGATTTGTGAAATTATAGTTAGAAACAGTATCTTTTGGTGAAAGGCACTGTGAAAAATGACCATGTTTAATGTAATTTTAGACAAGTTATAGTGTCTATTTGGCTCCAGGTTTTATATATAAAAATAGATAAACCAACAAAATATTCAATTAATCTAATTTCCTTTTTTGATAGACAAGTCTTTACATTAAATTAGTCATCTAAACATCCTTACTCTCATATTGTAATATATACATTATCAGGTYTGACAAAAGCAACACTTCTGTCATACCTAATCAATGTAGGTCATATTTGATAACAGATCAGATCATATGTGATAACAGATCCAAATTTATACATCCAAATGAGTGGTGTCTTTCCCTTTAGGTGGTGGCTCTGTAATAAATCTACACATATGCTAAGAAAACTGATATTGCTGTAGTTCAAAGAATTTTTGAAACTCCTAATTGGAATGGACCTTCAGAGAGTATAAAATATTAAAAAATTTTAGTCCACATAAGATCTGACTAAAGTAATATGGTCTGTGTAATCTGGAAATTGATTTATATAATTCCAAAAATATTTTAAAACCATCAACTGTAGTGGTGGGAAAATCTAAGAACTACTAGAAAAAAGTGGTTTTCCAATATGATGATATCATGTAAATATCTAAGCTCTGGTCTATGGCTTTGTTTTTTGCTTTTATTTTACTTTACAGCCCTGCATTTTTCTTGAAATCTTCACTCTCCTAAGTGCTGTAATGAGACTAGTTTAGTTCCGTACATATTGAGACAATGTGAATCCACATTTGAAACTACACATTTTGGGAATAATAAATCACTAGTATACAGATTTAGAGTGCTCTGCAGTTACAAAAGGCTTCCATAAGTATTATTTCATTATATACCTCCTTTCACCCCTACAAAGCAGGCTGCACTATATAAACCCTTATTAAAACTGAGTAATTAAGATTTAAAAATGTGAAAAACAGTTATGCAGTTTCAAGGATATTTAAGAGCAACAGAGTACCTGAATTAGATTTTATGACAAATTTTACTCTTTTCTTACCACAATGAATAATATGAACTATACTAATAAGTATAAAAATAAATAATTTAATTTTTGTAAATTGTCTAAAAAGCTAAGATACTGGAAAGCACTTAATGAACAGAAGCACTTCTACCAGAGTTCTGGAAACAAAAGAAAGAGTTGTATATTTCTGGGAAAGAAACACTGAAACATCTTTTTAGTTTTGTTTTGATGTTACACTATACTTATTTTCTTGAACAGTTGATGATTTTGGGAAAAAAATTAATCATTATTAATAATGACTTAGAAGACAGGAATCTACTAGAACATTCCTTCTAGCTCTATAAACTAGAAGAGGTTTATATTGCTAGAGGATTTTTGATTCTCACTCTCTTAAAACTTTACTTGTGAATTTGAAAAATGCCACTTATAGATAGATCTTCCTTAAAAAGAATAAATGAAGATTCAGGAAATTCTAAGTAGAACTATCCATTGCATACTTGCTAATGTAAATGATTCAATTTTGAAATATTATTATTATCAGATAATATTTCTTAAATTCCTAAGAATGCTAATAGATACAAAAATAATAATGTATGGATAAAGAGTTAATCCTAATTATGGAACCATGTATCTGCCTCATATTTTATTAGATAAATACCAAAGAAACTAATTAAGGGTCTCACAAAGGAATAAAAAAGCCAACAAACAAACAGGGATTGAGGAAACAAAACCATGGACCTGAATGTAAAGTCAGAAGAAYGAATGACCATGTTTAAATGCCTGAAAGGATACAGGTAGTACTCAGTTATTATCCACTTTCACATAGAAAACAATGAGTTATTTGGGAGCCACTAAAAATATAGTTCAGTTAGGTAAAGAAATGCAGGACATCCTGAGGTGGCATAGGAGCCAAGTTCTACCCTGCAGGGGTAATGCAAAGCTCTTCCTTTAAAAGGCTCCTGTCAAGCAACATGCCTCACATTAACATGCAGAGGGGGACTCTGTTGCTCAAAATGACAAAGGCAGTATCACTGGGAAGGTGACATCCATGTGGCAAGCAACATGGGGGAGCAAATTCCTTCTGCTGCTCCTTGACTACTGAAGCCAGTGCCCTAGATGGTGTGAAGGAAACAAGAGGCAGGAGCGGAGCCCTTCACCTCCTCTCTAGTGTGCCATCTAGAAGAGCAGGTAATTGGGAAGGACAGGGGTGTGTGTGTGTGTGTGTGTGTGTAGAAACAGACTAGTGTTAGATAACTCAATAGTTATGCTACTAAGCTTTATTTTTTAAGTGGAAAGTGTTTGAAAAGTTATAATAAAGAAAAAAGACACTGGGCACAGTGATACATGTCGTTAATCCCAGCAAGTCGGGAGGCTCATGCAGGAGGATCGCAAGTTTGAGGATAGCCTGGACCACTTAGCAAGACCTGGTCTCAAGGTAAAAAAAAAAAAAAAAAAAAAAAAAATTAAAAAGGGCTGGGGCTGTAATTCAAGGACAAAACACTCCTGGATCAAATTTCAGCATACAAAAGAAAAAAACATTTTGGAATGTATGACCAATCTTTCTACACATACTTTTTAGGTATCAAAACATATTTCTAAGATAACTCTAGGTAGTCTGGTGGATTCTTACAATGCTGACCTTTCTATAGACCTTTCATTGTCTGTTTTCTAATTTAAATGACTAAATTTTAACATTACTAGTCATTTAAAACAAAGACAATATAAACATCAAGAATCAGATTACGCATTATTCTTTTTTTTTTTTTTTTTTGTATAGGAGATTGAACCCAAGTGTATTTAACCACCAGGCCCCATCCCTAGCCTTTTTTATTTTTTATTTTGAGACAGAGTCTCACTAAGTTGCTGAGCCTGGCCTCAAACTTGTAATCCTCCTGCCTCAGTCTCCCGAGCCACTAACATTATCTAAATACTAGCAATTACTTTCAGGCAGAATTTAGTTTTTGTTGTTTTGAAGGGATTTACATAAARGAAATTAAAAATGTTCCCAAACTGCCAGAATAATGTTACCAAATAGTCACTCATAATATGACTGACTTCACTTGTGAAATTCAGTGTATCCATAGGTAACCCATACATATATGTAGCAGAAATTAAACAAAAAATCTAATGTGAGTATTCTTGTCTCAACAAGAAACTAAGTGTCTGTGCACAAAGGCAAAAAATGATGKCAGAAATAAACATAGATTTAAGGAGTGAGGTCGTATGTAGGGAAACCAGCATCCAATACAATTTGTCAAAGAATAATGAGGCAGGCACATGCCTGTAATCCCAGTAGCACAGGAGGCTGAGGAAAGAAGATCAAGAGTTCAACCTCTTGAACTTAGCAAGACCCTGTCTCAAAATAAAAAAAAAGAAAGAAAAAGGGCTGGGATGTGGCTCAGTGGTTAAGCACCTGTGGGTTTAATCCCTGGTACCAAAAACAAAATCAAAAGACAAAACTAAGATAATTAATCTAAAGGTAAAAAAAAATTAATTTACTATCTTGACCATTTTTTTAATACTTTATTTTTATTTTTATGTGGTGCTGAGAATTGAACCCAGTGCCTCATGCATGCCAGGCGAGTGCGCTACCACTTGAGCCATATTCCCAGCCCCCTAAAGTAAAAAATTTTTAAGATTAATGAAACTTGAAAAATGTCCAATTCTATTTGGGCAATAATCAAAGCAAATCAAATGGAGCCAAGTATTTTTCACTGTTGACAAAAGCCAGGGCTTTACAATGTGAACTGTTCTAGGGTTTTTTGTTTTGTCGTTTTGGTTTTTGTTGTGTTAAGGAGGTACCAATCTCCTTTGAGAACCTACTTTCCTCTAAATAATACACAGTTCCCAAGATTTGGRGTAAAAACAAGACATTTTAACCTTCTAAAAAATCCTTCAGTTAGGAACCCTTAATTTGAAAATGAGGGATAAATACAAGGAAAGGTGAATCTCCAAACTGAAAAAAAAACCTCAAGTTCAGTTAAAGATAGGAGGCAGGAATCTGGGAGGTAAGTTTGAAGATATCTGGTTCAAGCATACTATATACCAGCATTGTCCAATAAAAATACCACATATGTGATTTTAGAAGCACATTATAAAGTAAGAATTGGTAAAATATTAACATTTTACTTAACCCCCAATGGTCAAAATATTACCATTCTAACATTTAATCTATATAATATTTATTAATCAACAAAACATTTTCATGCTAAGATTTTTCAAATCTGGTGTGTATATATATTCCCAGCACATTTAGGGTGACTGACCACCTGATCTGCCTGGACTGAGGGGCTCCCTATAACAYAGGATTTTCAGTACTAAAACTCGGTCCTGGCAAACTGTGACAAAGTGCTCTCTAGTCACATGCACTGTACAGTACTGGAAACCATAGCTATCCATCTATCCTGATGGAAAGGCAATATACATATATGCTTTAAACTAATCTTCATAACACACCTAAGAGACAGATGCTATTAGTTTATAATTTACAGAGGAAGAAACAGACACAGGTTAAGTCTTTCACCCAGTGTCACACAACTGGGGCCATGGTGGAGGGCAATCTAGTGGGTCCTAAGGGCAATCTAGCTTGGGTCCTAAGGAAAATGTTAAGATATGAGAGAAAAAAGTGGCACAGGCCTGTAATCCCAGTGGCTCTGGAAGATGGCAAGTTCAAAGCCAGACTCAGTAATTTTGCAAGGCCCTAAGCAACTTAGTGAGACCCTGTCTCAAAAAATAAGAAAGTCCTGGGAGAGGAGGAAAAGGGTTGCATGGAGTGTAGAAAAATACCCAAAAGTTAACGACTGAATGGTGCAATTCAGGAAAATGAAAACCTGTGGAGTTTAGAGTGTCTCAAAAGACAAATATGAGAGGGCGAAGGGAGAAAGGGGAAAGGAAGGAATGGGGGGAAAGGTGAGAAGGGGTAAGGGAAGGGGGTGGGGAGAAGGGCAAGAGCACCCAAGAAGAAAGGAGGGGCCTGGAAAGTTAAGGGCGCTGGCTTAGGAAACTGAAGGAGACGACAGGGACAGAGTTTCAAATCAAATGACAACAGTGGCAGGTGATATGGAGTTTTCGCCAGGTGTCAGGCACTACTTCATGAATTATCTTATTAACGGTCACTGAGCAGCCATCTGTTATCCCCATTTTTCTTGAGGGGGCGTTGAAGAGGCTGAACCAAGTAGCAAAGGCCGTCCGGAGCGGAGCTCCGCGCTCAGGGGCCAGCCGGGCCCGGGCCCGGGTCCGCGAGGAGGCCGCGCCGTCCGTCGCTGCAGCCAGGGCCGCCCGGCCTACCTGTGCAGCGGAGGCAGGTCTTGCGCGTCGCTGGCGGGGTCGGGTGTGTTGGGGATGACACCCAGGATGGTGCTCTGCAGCGACGTGCCCTTGAGCAGCCGGCTGCGCACCAGCTGCAGGTTGCGGGCCGTGTCCACGCTGGTGCGGATAGTGGAGCCGGGCAGCAGCACGCCTTCGTGGGTCAGCAGCAGCGGGAGGCGGCTGGGGATTTGGATAGGACTCACAGATGACATGGCGACAGCCGGTCCCACTGGGTGCTGTCAGAAGGAGCGGGACGGACAGCTCTGCGCTTAGTGCGCTTCAGCGATCGAACCCCGCAGACARCGCGCCGTCGCTTCCGGCCCTGCGCTACGGCCCGCCCCCAGGCTCAAACGCCGCCGCTTCGCGCAGCCTCCCGCAGATTCTGCTTGGGGCTTGTATATCGTAAATACGCAAAAAGAGGCGCACGAAAAAAATCTGCTGAGAACTTCGCCTCAGCTGAGCCTAGCTCACAGAGTGTGCTGGGAAGGATGGTTGCGTTCGATTTGTGTATACTAGAAACTTGTGTTTTAAAGTTATTATTGGAATGGACTTTAACTTTACAAAAAGGTTGCGAAACTATAGCCAAGAATTTCCACATACCTCTCACTTAGTGTTCTCTGTTGTGATCTTACCTAATCACGGTTCTTTATCAAAACCAGTTTTGATAGAGCCAGTGTTCACAGWATTGTCCCTAATTGAATCTGGTTCAAAGTTCAGTCCCACGGTCTCACTCTTCACTGTCATGGTATCTCCTAAGTCTTTGCTAAATTGTGACAATGCCTCAATCTTAGCTTTATCGTGTTTTATTTTATCGACTTTTAAAAACTATGATACTTTTAAAGGGTATCAGTCAGTTGTTTTGTCTACAAAACAACTTCTAAGTTTCCTCAATTTGGATTTATATGATATTTCTCATGAATAGATCAATGACATGTGCWGGGCTCAAATAGCATAAAAGTAATATTGTAACCTTGTTTGAATGGGTTTTCAATTCCCTTGTGTATAACAGGACAGTTACTTATGGTGATTTTAATTTTGATGACTAGATGAAGATGTTATCTGYCCGGTTTCTTCACAGTGAGTTACTATTTATCTTTTTGTAATTAGTATCAAGTATCYTGTGAGGTGATTAATTCAACATTTATTAAATGGTATTCTATAAGAAAAGAACTATTCCTTCTCTCCCATTTGCTTATTTACTCAATTACTTATGTTAGTATGGACTCAAGCATACTTATTTTATGGGTTGCAATCCAATATCATCAGATATTTCTTTGCTTGAATTGTTTCCTATTTGGCTACTGGGAGCTTCTTCATGTTGAGAATTAATTTGGATTTGCTGTAGTTTTCAGAGGGAAATTCCTCTCCAAATATGAAGTCCAGAAATGCTCTCAGAATCCAGGAGGGAGTTGAAAGCCCATTCAAATCAATRGGCACTTGTAAAGGGACTGCATGGTGCCAGGCCCTGGACTAATTGCAGGGGGGTAGAGGGAGTAAGCTAAACATGTTCCCACCCTGAGGCTTCTCTTGGCCAGAGGACAGATCTATAAACAGCTAAGTCTGATTTAGGGCAGACAGAACTACATATTTCTTTGTTTGTCACAAATAAGGAAAGGAAAAGTTAGGGATATTAGGTGCTTTGGAGGAAACATGATGCAGGAATTTGGAAGCTCCTGATTAAAGCTTTTTCTCTGGCATGATCCCAAACTCTTTCATTCATTCACTAAAGTAATATCTTATGTAYCCTACCCTATGACAGACTCTGGAGGTGATATGAACGTAAAGTATTCATTGGCCAAGTCCCTAAGAGCTTATCTTTTTATCACGAGTTTCACCAAGGGGCTACATTCTTTGAGGTTCCTGGTATTTTAACAATGGACTTATAGGGCTGGGGATGGCCCTGAGTTCAATTCCCAGCACACACACACACACACACACACACACACACACACACAAGAAAAAAAAATCCAACAATGAACTTCTAAAACCATTTTACAAAATTTGTGTCCAATTTTTTTAAACACTATATTTAATGCTTTTTTATTGGTTGTTCAAAACATTACAATGCTCTTGACATATCATATTTCATACATTTGATTCAAGTGGGTTATGAACTCCCATTTTTACCATGTGTACAGATTGCAGAATCACATTGTTTACACATCCTSGTTTATACATAGTGCCATACTAGTGTCTGTTGTATTTTGCTGCMTTAATGCTTTTAATATCTGTGCATGCCCCAATAACAGCACAATGTAAGTGTTCTGTCCTACAATGTAAGTTCATACTGTAATTTAAAGGTATGGTGTGGTRTGATGTCCTGTGGTGTGGTAATGGCTGATTTAAGTTGCTTGCTTGATGAATATCTTCTTTAAATCTTGTCTGTATATTTCTGTGAAAACATATATCAGTCCACCTGGCAGAGCATCAAGAATCCACATATGAAATCTTCAGTGACAGTGTGGCTTTCTTGGCCCCTTCTTTGAAAGACTGTGCATGCGCTTCTTTAATTTATCCATCAAATATTTATTAAATATCATCCATGGGCTGAACATGATTCTAGATTCAAGGGTACAAGAGGGAACAAGACAGACAAGGTCTTGGCTTCAGAGATCTTACATTCTAGAAAGGTAGACAGAGAATGAATATGCCAAAAAAGTATATACCAAAAAATCAAGGACTGCCCAAGGAGGCTTTGACCAGACAATTTTCAGGAAGTGGTAAGTAAAGGAAATGTGATAGAAAATATGCAGAAGGTGATAGGAAGAGGGGGCCAGCATTAGATAGGGAGATCTGGAAAGGATGCTTTAAGGAGGTAGTATTTGAACTGAGACCTGAATAATAAGAATGGACTAGTTCTCCTGGGCACAGTGGTGCGGGCATATAATCCCAGCAGCTCAGAAGATTGAGGCAGGACAATCGCAGGTTCAAAGCCAGTCTCAGCAATTTAACGAGACTAAGCAACCTAGTGAGACCCTGTCTCACAATAAAAATAAAAAGGGTTGGGGATGTGGTTCAGTGGTTAAGTGCCCTTGGGTTTAATCCCTGGTATCAATCAAAAAATTTTAAAAAAAACAATTAAAGAATGGACTATTATAATTATAATATTATAATTCTGCAAGGTTCTGGAGGAAAATGTTTGTTCCAGGTAAAGATTAGGAYTAATTGGACAGGCAAAACAGCACATGCCTGTAATCCTAGCAACTCAGAAGGCTGAGGCAGGAGGATCCCAAGTTTGAGGCCAGCCTTAGCAACTTAGAGAGACACTGTCTCAAAATAAAAAAATAGAAAGGGCTGGGGATGTAGCTCAGTGGAAAAGCACCCCTAGGTTCAAAAAAAATGCAAAAATCAAAAACAAACAAACCAGGACTAATGTGAAGATTCAGGTGGGGAGGAACTTCCTAGTTTCTTGAAGCAGAGGAGAAAACTCGGGAGTGGAATGTGGGGGTTCAGCATTCAACAAATGAATAGTCACTGGCCTCTGGCAGGTATTGGAACTTACAGAAGGAAATAAATTAAGAGCAGGGAAAGTTAATAGCACAAGGTCTAATCCTTTAAACTTCTTCATATCCTGGCTTGCAGGTCCTTCTTCCCACTTGTTCTGGGCATATTCCTTGCCCTCTGGGGTACTTTCTGGTCTTAGATCCCAGATCCTGCTGGATCATGGTAATAACAATGAGGAAATAAATCCGTTCCTCCAGAACACCTTTGCCACAGGTACCTTTGCTCCATTGGCCTCCGTCTGTCCTGTTGGCAACTGTTTCACTGTAAGTAAATGGCTCCTGTCTAAACTGAATTTGTAAACATGGTCTTTGCCCCTAGGATGGGAAGAACACAGGGCTGGAAGCATCTGGTTTATTCCCAGTCATGACCCTGTCTCCATCTTGAYCACAGGAAAGGTCTTGCCACTAATTAAACTTCAAAACTCCAATTTCTTCCTGAGAGGAAGTTGAGAGGCCAGGGAAATTTCCAAGGACTKCCCAAGGAAGCTTGGACCAGAGAATTCCTCTGACCAATCCAAGGAGGAGAGGTTGGGCCTTGGAGAACTGGAAGGAGGCCCCGGTTAATTCGTGGCTGAGTTGCAGTGGTATTGAGATGAACCGTTCACCTTCTTAAAACTCGTCCTTTGCATATGTGTACATTTTCTCCAATTTTATTTTGTTTAGTTTTTTCCCTGCTGTTAGTTTCCTAAACAGATCCATACAGAGAAGAGTAACACCTGTGAATAAACATAAGCCAGGTTGGCAAGTCATACCACAGCTGAAAATGGAGAGAAAAATCTAGTTTCTTTTCTSGGTTTCTAAGAATTTGCGCTTCCTCAGCATTTCCCCTTCCCAGTTAATGAGGGGAAAGTAAATGTTGAGGCTTACCATTTTAATATCTTGTTTGATCCAATCATTAAATAATTCTGTTAGACAATGCTCAGTACAGACACAGTCTCAGAGTTTTTGCCTGGCAGAGGAAGAGTTGGGTTCCTGGGCCCAGTGTCCTCCGCTCCTGGGCTTTCCCAGGTGATGATTTTGTCCAGGTGGTCACTGCCTGTCCTCCTGTCATTGATGTCTTCAAGTGAGGCTCTTTGGTTCATTCTGCCTGGCTGTGTTCCCCAAGTTGCTGGGCCTCACTTATCTTTCCTCTGCTGACACCACACTCCCTTCTAAGATCTTTCCATGATTCCCGATTGTTTGCAGCTTGGATAATCCACTGGGCTCACTCACTTTTGGCTTCTTCTGGTTCCCATTTACACTACATGGGACAGGAAAGCTAATTGGCACACACAGGTGGTACTAGCACATGGAGTACTCATCAGCAAATTGGGAAAAACATGTCTTCATTGGAAGAGGATTTAGGAAAAAGTCACCTCTTCTTTTTTGAAAGGGATGTGACAGCRTTTCGCTGGAGCCTGTTCACACTGGTTCCTGGGAACCAAAATTTCAGGAATTTTGAGAGCCTAGTTGCTAAACATTATTAAAATTGAAATTGTATAAATGTAYAGTTAAATAAATTRTTTCAAAAACAAAGGTAATGTTCAAAATTTATCATTCCTAATTATTTTGCTATTATTTATTCTGATGTTTCTTACCACAATTGTCTATACGGTGGTAATAGTATATTGTACTTTAATTCTTTTCCCAACTCTGCATTCATGGAGTTATGTTAATATCTTGAAATCAGCCATGGTAGAGGTTTTTACACTATAGAAATTGGTAAGAGTTACAAATCAGGGCTTCATTTATTATTTTGTTGATTGCTTAGACTTAAGACAGAAACATAGATGCAGATTGCAGATTAGATTTACAAATGTGTATTATCTACAGCTATATTGTAGTAG